TGATATCTTATCCTTTATTTTTACCAAAATATTACTCTTAAGATAAGCTGCTCATATACTATTAGAATAATTAGAGAGCAATGCGTTCTTTAGAATTGTATAATTGAAGAAAATGTCGAGAGAATTGTAACAAAATACGACTAATTTCTATCAAGTACAGAAAATACAATGTGTATGATTATCAGTTGCCGATTGTACAATTCCGTTTATCCCTATTTATTTCTAATTATTATTTATTTTTAATTAAGGCATTGTTAAATCATTATAAATTAAAGAAATATCTTTATGTGCGATTTGTTATTACATTTCCTACAGAAATTTAAAAATAGAAAAAAAAGCACTTTATTTTATTAATATAGAATATAATTATAAAAATACTAAAAGAATAAAGTTACAAAAACATAATTTTGTAAATATCTTATATAATACAAAAAATGTTTTCATTAACAATTCCAGATATTTGTTTGCATGATATATCAATTTCTTGACGGAGACAATGTATTATTATAATTATACATATATGACTAGCACATCCAAAAAATTAAACTATTTTAATAATATCAAGAGATTAAACATTATTAAAATAATTAGATTGTTATTACTCTTTATACATAATTTCTGTCTATTCGTATTCACACTCGTCACGTGTTGCGCTTTACAAAAATAATGTCGTTCGCCAAGTTGTCCGGATGAGTGACCAAACTATAAACATAGTACCCCCGACGTTCCATCAAATCGACCAGGTATTTTCGTCCTTTTTTATTGTGTATATACTCCACAGAGAGAGTCTGAAACGTACATGTATTTCTCATCGTAATTGTGCCGTAAAAAATATTAAGTACGTTCCGTAAAGAAACTACGTAGTTTGCAGGTTCCATGTCTTGATATATCATCAAATGTCAACGTTTCATGAATCGCAGTTCACTTTATTAAAACGAGAGAAGCAATCTGATACTGAGCTTTTCTCATCTCTAGAGAATTCCCTTTATATACGTTGTTGTAAGGAAGAGGAAAGATAGGAAAAGAAAACGGAAGTATATACGATGAGAGGGGGGATGGTCCATGGAGACTATGAGATATAATTAAGGCTTCACATGAAGTTCCCTCTAGTCTCATTCTTTTAATCGAACACTATACTTAACACTCACGTACTTCTCTTACGACGTATCATTACAATTACATTATTGTATATAGAAATAACCCACAAACCGCGTAATTTCTTTGAAGAATATAACCGTAGAATCCTCAAAAATATTGTTATTATATTATTTCACTTCCAAGAAAACATGCCGCGAACATCAGAAACGAACGCATAGATTCAGAATGAACTAAGGTAAGTGCCGTACCTTTATGTCCACCTCGTTAAATGGTATTGTTTCTAATACGTCGATCTCATTGCCTTCTATGTCGAGGCTGAAATAATCGATCGTTTTGATTTCCAACGCGGCGATGTAATGTGTTAATGGAAAGCATTGCACGCGGACGTGCTTGCCCGTGTAAGCCACGTCGAGCGTATTTGAGGGCATATCTTCCGTCTTGTTCTCAGGTTCGTGTAGACGACCCACATTCCTGGCCATGAGAAAGGATGCCTGCAATTTCGTGAGGTTCACCAAATTTTTCGGAATTCATGTAACTTCTAATATGCGAGTCAAAATTGGTGCTCGAGTTTCGCGACAGCACTGTTTCAAAATCAATATTAACGACAAATCATTGATTTCTTACCACCGTAGGATTCTTAGTAATGCTAAGACACGTTGGCGAGAGATAAGCCTTTCTGTTCTTTTGCAACATCTTCGTGAAATTAATAGGATCAGCTTCTATCAAGAGACCTGACCATCCCCTAAACCGCTCCAGAAATAATGTGTTGCTACGTATTTCCCCGTCGTACGCACCACATTCTATGAAAAATCCATTTTTCTGTAGAGAGCAATAAATGAAATTCGGTATTAATAACGTAAATCGATCGAGCATAATTATCGTGTATTCATTCGTTTATTCTTGTGAAAAACGTTTTTCTTGCATCTCTCACGAAATAGTAATAATTATTTTACCTTATCGTTTAAAATTTCGCGTATCGCAGCTGACTGCCCCATTGACGGATCTTCCACATCTGGTTCTTGAAGCACATATGACTCTTTCGGATTATGATTCCATATTATCCAATTTTGATGAATATCGGCCAATAAATCATGAAAGGCTTCTAAGCTCAGGGCAGATATATTCTTCTTGTTGTACCATTTTTCATCTAATTGTAAGTAGTAGTTAATTATTGGTTATTTTTCAAAGAAATAAGAATTGCCAACTGTACATGCAATACAAATATTTTTATAATTTCTGATATTCGGGTATATGATATAAATAAATGTATCGTGTTATTCACAACATGAAAAATGTATGTTCTTATTTTTATATTGAGCAAAATAAAAATTATGTTTAAGTAGCAGGGACAGTCTTATATTCGGTTATTAAAACTTGAATTTTTTTTTAAAGGATTAATAATGCAAATCTACTTAATTTTCACTTCCAAAAAAAAATATATTTTTTAAAATAATTTATTTTTATAAAAATATTTTAATGATAATATTTATATAGTATAAAAAAAAAAGAACTTATCTATACTAGTTAATAAAAATGACTTTGTCTAGCTAAAAAACAGACAAAATACATTATTCATTGTCAATATTGATTGCGTCACTATATTGATTCCGTCACCATACACGGAAAGAATTTTTTCTTAGAATTTATCCTGAAAATATGATAGTCATGAGGTAACGTTGTATTTTAAAGAATTTTAACATATTGTACGAGAACTACTATACTACTATATTTTAAAGGTAAATTTTAAAAGAAAATTCTCTCCGTGTACTATTTACTTCATTCAAACGTATTTCTTCAAAAAGAAATAGAATAAATTTCTCAAATAAGCGATATATTATTTATAATATATTACAAATCTTTATAATATAATATAATATCACGTAATTTTTGTAAGACCAAATAAATCTAATTAATAATTTGTCTTATTTAGAAATAGAAACAGAAAATAGGCTCAAGTAATTTATAAAATTAAAACTAAAACAAGGGCTACGAGCCAAGCTGGATCTTAATGCCAGATTAATTACAATAACATAAGTTTATTAACAAATATTTCGATTCTTATTGAGTCATTTTCAATATTGAAATTACAATTTGAATTCATTTGAAAAACAATTATTATACAATTGTTTGTTAATTATATTTTAGACAATATTTGAGTTGGCTCATTTGTCGGTTTAAGAGTGTAAGTCAGAACGGTTGTGACTGCGTTATTAAGGTCACTGTGTAAGATCGTTTGATGACCACCATGCATTGTAACATATCTACAATTTATCCGAATATTTATCATTTATTTTTTTAGGTTTATATATTAAATAATACTCACAACCATCCATAACGAAATTTTACATACACGATGTTGAATTTATATTTTATTACATTTACCATCTAAATCATCATATGTATTGGCAAGTGATTGTTTTTCAAATGAGTTGTTGAGTTCAAATTGTTAATTTGTCAGTTGTTAATTTCAACATTGAAAACGACCCAAAGGATCGAAATTTGTTAATAAACTTATGTTATTGTAGTTAATCTAGCATTAAAAGATCCAGCTTGGCTCGTAGCCCTTGTTTTAGTTTTAATTTTGTCTTATTTAATTAACGCATTATATAAACAAATCGATAAAAATAGATGTCTAAATTATAATATATGAACAAAAAAGTTTATATATTTTTATACTTTTAAAATTTTGCTATTGTTAAATGTCAATCAAATATCAAGATTCAAAATTGTAATACAATAAAAAGAATTGATAGGCTCAAAAGAATAAATCAAATAAAGATAATGCCTATAAAAGCCAAACACAGGATATCCGCGTGTAAAATGTGTATATTTCGATCCTAAACATTTAACATGTAACCGCTTTGCATTACATGACACGGCTACATGTCGCTTAATTCGATTTATAATTATACGTTCCATTTGTTTATTATCGGCGTTTTTAATGTTTAGTAATAAGTGGATTGCGATATTGAGAAGGATCAGCAATAGGATCGAAACGTCTGTACTTTAGCTAATAATTAAATAAATCAAATAAATTAACTTGAAGTTATGCCTATATAAGCCAACACTGGTTGTTGATTGTGCAATTTTATTACAAATTTGGAGATTCCAATTACATATAATTCGTAAACGTTTCGACCTTGGTTTAGGTCATCTTCAGTACATCATATTGTCTGCTATTCGGTCATCTTAACATCTAATTATGGATCACCGCTATATTACGTACACTTAATTTCCATGTTAACTATATGTGAATCAATGTATCCTCAATTAATTATATTTTAAATGAATTCGTCCAATACCAATGTTAAGATAAATTCGTCGAATACCGATGTTAAAATAAATTATTATTACTCACATGTATTTGTAACGGTGTCTTAATTCTAAATTACAATAATGACTCTCCTATGCACATATAGTCCCTGTCTTAATTGCCCTGTCTTAATTAAATAAATATTTTACACGCAGACATCCTGTGATTGGCTCTTATAGGCATTATCTTTATTTAATTCAAAATTGTATTTATAGACACGACTTTTATTTATCATTTCGTATTTTAAATACGTGGTTAGTAATTTTACCACTGAGATTATTTGAGTAATTCAAGCGCGTACAGAATGACGTATTATACCTTCACGTGATATCAGTGCTATATATGCCAGATGCCTGGATCGCATTTCGTTAATTAAATTTACAAGTATCACGGTCTAGTAAAAGAGTAATAATAACATATGAGAGAGAGTGATGTAATTTTCCATTGTTCAAGTATAATTTTCTCGAAATGAAGATTTCTGTAAAAACATGAATGTTAATCTATATTTTTGACGTATTTTTTTCACATATCAGTTTTTTTCTACTTGCAATAGGAAATTATACAATTAGCTGTTTATTATACAAAACACATTTACTGAAACTGTAAAGATTATAATATAAGTATTGACATTTATTAAGTATCGTTCAAAATAACTAATAAATGATTAGAATTACTTACTATTGGAAAAGTTGTACCATGTGTCCAACACTGTAACAATGACAAGAAGAATATATGTTGCTATTGCCTTTGAAGTGAAGAATTATTTCTTTATGGTAAGGTAGTACAATTTGGAACGTCATACAATTCTAAAATAAAATTTGAATCCAGTTTCGAGATTCAAGTTCGGTTCTCATTGTGTAGCGGGAGGATACTACTCAACAAGAAAAAATCAAGCGTGCATCTTCAAAATTGGATTCAAATTTTATTTTATTCAGAATTGTATCATGTTCGAAATTGTACCATCTTATTTTAAAGGAAAAAGATACATTTGGAAAGAACATTCTTTAAAAGGTTCTCACCTGTTTGATATAAATCTGTGGGTACATCGTCCAGGTACGTATCGTGTACTATTGTATGATTTTCAACAAACGGATACTTCGTGACAAGAACAATGAGAACAACGCACGAAATCAGCGCGATCAGCAAAATCCATTTTCGGCGCGAATAGTAGTTTGGCATTTGCCTAAGTACGTGTTGGTAGTTAGCGTTGGTTTGCATCTCATCGGGAAATGTGCGAAAAACAATACCGAGTCGTTTCTTCCACGTAGCCACAAGCGAACGAAATACGATTCAACAGGAAGTCACTTAGGCTCTTACTTATGGGCGACTTATCAACGTTTAAACATCGTTTATCACAGTGATCGGCAAATGGACACTGCTCGCAGGCAATTTTTTTTGAAAGAAAGAACTAACAGTTCTCTGTGACATATTCGTTTATAACTGTTCGGTAGTCTAAATATTTTTTTACGTGCTACTATAAATGTAGCAAAAAATTAAGTTCCAGTATAGCAAAAACACAGTTTCTTTGATGAAATTTTAAATTATCTTGTTTGCTTACTTAACATTTTAGTCTTCGTGGGAATTATACGAAATTAAAAAGTAGATTACGAATTCACTGAATTTATAATGATTATTATAACTTATTGCGTAATACTGAGCATATGATAATAAGTAAGATAATTATTAGAGATATCAAGGCTTTTATTATAAACGAGCAATATTAGTTGATTAATAAAATTCACATTATATTCACATACGTATATCGCTAAAAATCTCAAATATTTCGACTTACAAAGTCTTCATCAGTGATTAACAAAAAAACCTATTTATATAACTCCTAACAATGTTCACTAACGTACTTATAATATAAAATAAAAATTATCGCTCTAAGCTAGTCCTATATACTTATTTCTACGTTAAAATGTTATGGATCTATAAAGGTGTCCAGTCTGAAGATTGAAGAGTCCATAATTATAAAAATTGTGTGTAACCAATTCGTCGGTATTTATCGAGAATCGGCTCAGTCCACAATCCATTATAAAAGACAATCCGATCCAGGATTTCATCTATAACCGTCCTATTATATTCTATACCATTAAAAGTCAATATATGATTAGAAAAAAACTAAAATAACATAACAATGATGATAAGTTATTATTCCACTTACGATAATTTATATAGAACAGTCATTTAAATTGAAATCAAGAATATGTCACTAATACAATAAAGTACTGTTGATTGTCCGACGTTTTAAAATGGACTGTAATATAGGTCATAAAATATATGTCGATGAGTCACGAAATAAACAAGTGTGAGATTTTAAACGTTTGAGACTTTTAGCGGTATACGTATGTGAATATAATATGAATTTTATTCATTAACTAATATTGCTGGTTTATAATAAAAGCCTTGATATTTCAATTAATGCGTAGCATTTACACGAGCCTATTTCTCTTGATAATTATTACACATGTATATATCGAGTATACAATTCTATCTAAAATTTAAATTAGTATATTTTTTTATGTTAAAATTGACCTTTCCGAAAATCGAATAGAATAGAAAAATGTGGCACAAAAATATAGACTCTGAATTGACAAAAAATCGAAAGATCTTTAATAATACCATGAAATGTTCATAACTATATAGTTATACACAGGTGATGAAACAATATAATACATACAGCATCGTAAATGTTGCTTACAAATTACAGTTCTTTATTTTAACTCTCCGATAAAAAAAAATACATTCTGTAGTAGAAATTCAATACGTTAGGATAATTTGATGGCTAATCGGAAATCGATAAATTTAAAGATAAAAATCAAGCAAAGATAAAAATATTAATCAAGGCCACTAAATAAAACGCATAATTGATTAATTAAAATAATTCAGTACTGAATCTAAAAGGCTCATCTAAGTCACGAAAATTTTTCATATATATTTTTTACATATATATAGATGTTAAACATATAAATTATGAATTAATATGCGTTACATATAACAATAAATAAATAAATTACGCGATGAATTTCTATTCATATTATAATAAAACGCATCATGCGTTTCACATTATCTCCATTACTTACCTTTATCTATTCTCAAAATTATAACGTATAATTTTCAATGTTTTCCCAGATAGACTAAAATGCTTTTAAGCAACATCGTTTATGTATTCTATCAAAAAGTGATTAACACAACATTTTCCCGCTGCATCTTTTAAAACTTCCGTTTTGTACGTCATGCCAAGATTACCATTGGATTGTTAATCATTATTCGACTGGACGTACTTCTGTCGAATCTTTTACACGCGCTGGTCAAGGATAACGCACAAGTCCCTTAAAGGGTCAGTGTCCTAAATCGACGATAGAGCGGTCGCCTAATACATACACAAGGAACCTTTCGTTTCGTGGCACAATGTACACGCGCGTGTAGCAAGCCCGATGCTGCGGTAAACTAGAAAAATACATCGTGCGGCTTCGACACGCGAGATAAATTTAGCATGGGCGTTTACGTGAGCGTGTCGTGTCACGGTTCGCGAAGCAACAGTGAACAAAACGGCATTCCCGTTCACAAATGATGACGCCTTCGGACATCTCCGAAATGAAAGACACGGAAGGAGTGAGAGGCTCGCCGCTCGCTGCCGTATCCCGACCACGAATATCAACGAGTGCCATCGGCACTAAGCTTGAAGATACTCTTTGAAACAAGTTTATCTGTGTAGGTACATGTCTGCCTGTGTGTTGTGTTGATGTGCTTATACAGGGTGTTCCAAAATAAACGAATTTAATTTAATTCTCGAGAAGCGGTTCGCCTGATAGCTGGTTACGACAAACAATCTATTTGAATTAATAATAAAATTTCTATGTACTATAGACTAAACTTTTCAATTAAAAAAGAACAGAACGAAAAAGAGGCTACGAGCCTAAAATTTAGTCGTTATAAAATTGAAATTATTAAGAAGTCACAGAATAAAAACATGTCATTTCGTTATAATATAAACTTTAATTAAAATTTTTTAATTAAAATTTAATGCTTACAAACCCCTTTCTTCTTTAAAGAATATATCAATTATTATTGAATATAATTGAGAAAAGAAAAGAAATTACATTTACGAGATACAAATAAATAATTTTTTTTTCTACTGTACGGACATTTATAATTTTTTCATTGATGTAATTATAAATTTTTAATTAAGTTGTTGGAAAAGGTAAAGTAAGTAATGCCTCAACAATTCTTTAAACAAGGATGAATTTGATATCCATCAGTTAAGTATTAATGACAAACTCTTGAAAAATTTGAAAAATTTTTCTTTAAAAAAATATCTTTAAAAAATGACATTTAATCTTTTTAAATAGATTCGTATAGAGTGAAACATTTGAAAAAACAGGAAAATAAAAATACTCGCTTATTTGCTGTCCTATACGTAGTGAAATCGCAAAATGACACACACGTGAATGTATCTGGCACATTACTAGTGGTTATGAAAATAATATGTGCAGTCTCACTGTGTGTGTCACACATGCTGAGCACAACGTGTATGTGAAGTACAAAGATTAATTCCTTCTCAAGGTAGATCGACTTATCTATTATTAACAAATGTTATTGCTGATATTAGGCATCGGTGTGTAGTCTCTGTTAAGAGCAAAAATACAATGCGTGAAAAACTAGGACTTCTTTACATAAGAAAAACATCGCGTGTGTGTCTTTGCATACATCGTGATGACAAATACATGACTTGAGGAGTGTATCATATTTTTTTCAATCTGCATATTATGATAGATGTCCGGCGTTTATTTATACATGCGATGTATGTAGACACAATAGCTCAAAAGATTCATTGCTAGTTAAAATCAATTGTTGCATTATGATTAACCTGATTGTGTAATGATAAGGGCCTAATCGGAATGACTTTAACAAGGCATGTCTTAAGATTATCCGATCATATCCTTATGACATATTGTCAATTTCTAGTCGGATAACTAACAATATTTCAACAGATCATGCAAATTTTTCTTTCGTTGTTAGTAAAGTTTGCAATTTAAATCGATATAAGGAGAAAGAATGGAAATACAAATCATCCTTTGCAATTATTTATTAGAACATTTTTAACATTATATATATATTAAAAGTATTATTTTATAATTGAAGTAACATGTTATAGATAAATTTATTAATATTTAAATCGTCGTTATGTTAAATCTTGCAAAACAATATCAACACAATTTATATTAATTAGTTTTCTTAACACGACATATAGAAGAGCATTGACATTATCGACAGTTTTAATCATCCAACATGAATATTCAAGAATAATGCAATAATTAATTTTTCACTTTGTGGTTATTCCGTATTTCATAAATGTGTATATATATATATACTCTATGTTAAACTATATTATATGTTTCTATAAAATTTCATTTTTCTGTGAATAAGAAAACAGTCGATAACGTCAATGCTCTTCAATTATCTTTAATTATGTGGGAAAATTATTCAAATTCAAAATTAATTTTTAAAAATAATATTTCTTTAAAATAATATTGCCTAGTTCGAGCGCACTAAATATATGAGAAACATCAAGAGATCTTTATAAATTAAGGAAAACGCTAAACCCTGTTTTCATGTAAGATGCGCAACATATATTGATTTTTCTAACAACTACTATACAAATTTCTTTTGTAATTGAAGATGATTAGCAGTTGAAGATGTTAATACATAAATTATTTATTAATCCAAAAAACTTCCAGATCTAGAGTTTATTAGTGATAACATTCCTATTCAGTTTTACGTAAACGAAGAATACATTTGAAATAGAGACTAAAAATGAATTAATTTAAACGTTTGTGAAACATTCGATGGAACTTCATCCAACTTCAAACGCAACATCGGAGCGCTCTGGTCTCGAAGACATGCCATATTCTGTCGCATTCGCCGCTATGTCTCCTTTTTTTTCTCGGTCGACAAACGTCATCGGTTCTCGCCGCAGTCATCGACAGTGACGGCAACGGTGATCATCACATGATTTTAGACGTTGTAGCGCTGCTGCATCGTTCGTTTCGAACATGGCCGCGGCGGAATGTGAAACGAAGGAGGGCACCTCAACGGACCTGTTGAAAACGCCGGTGTTATCGGACGAGGCCGTTAACGTAATCCAGAAAGATGAGGACTCCGGCATTCCGCTGCAAACGCCCTGGACCTTTTGGCTCGACAAGTGAGAGCAAACGCGGTGATTTTTTTCTTTTTCCCGTTCTACTATGCGATGCATCCTAACGCGATGGTGCATCTCGATCTTATCGTCGTCGCTCTTGACAAACGTTGACACTGTAAACGGCGCTTGCGAGAAATGCCGTCGAAATATCATCGGTCCAACATTGACGAGATCGCTATTCCTGATTTCCCTTTATTTAAATAATCCAACGTGCAATGCAGATACGCGCGAAATTAATTTACACATTACATCTTCATAAATGCACATCACTCTTCTGTTCTGGCAACCG